CCTTATCTAAGATCACACCCTGACACCCTCTGACCCACTATTCTGCTTTATTTTTCTTCATGAAAATGTATCACTGTCTGCAATTACAGGTTATTTTTATTCTCACTGGTCTCCACCCCACCCCTCAAAGCACGGACTCCACAGGAGCAGGCACTTTATGTCTTGTTCACGGCTACATTGCCAGCACCTGCGTGTTGCTCAGTAATATTTGCTGAATGAATGAATGAACACTATTCTAACTTGTCTCTCTGCCTCTGATCTTGACAATAAAACATGACGGAAAAGAGTTTAGTTATCTTAATGGGTACCAGAGTTTTGTTGTTTGTCCTTTAAAAATGTAGAAAACTACTTTTCACGATAATAATGACACATCTCCTTGGTGTAAAATAAAACCCAAGAGCCTGCGTTGGGCTAACATTTCCCTCATTAAATAGGAGGTAGGGGATAAGAGAAAACAGAAGGCAGGAAACCGGGAGGAGAGGGACCAGAAGGTGTCAGCCATCTTCCTGTGACCCTGCATCTCACTACCATGCACTGCACTGAGCGAATGCGTGTGTGAGTGGGTGCTGTGATGCCTAACAAGGGTTGGGGCTCCCAGCTGGGAAGGCATGAGCAAGATGGTAACGGCACCTGGGGAGTATGGGGTCCCAGAGACAGAGGAGGCCTGGAAAATGCAAGCCCCTCTAGAATTTCCAAAAAATCATGGCATTTCCTAAATGACAGCACATAGCAAGTAAAGTAGAACCCACCTTTTCTGTCAAAACTGTACATTATTTATGCTTCATCACTCATTTGTATACATTTCCATAGAGGTTACGTGGAGACTTTGGTTGGAAGAGGTTAAGGTCATATAATCACAGACTTTTCATCCTTGATATTTCTACTGAACACAAGTCCTCTCTGTCGCCTCTGAAAAGGATCAGGGAAAGGCAGGGTCGTCTGGCCTTCTACAAGCTGCACCCCTTTCATCTGCACCCTTGTGGGGTGGAGTGCAGAGTGAAGCCAGTTGTGGTTGGGTGACCCTTCAGTTCCACCTTCCTTTCTGCCTAATTCATTTTATCCCACCATTTTTGGTATGAAGCTCAGAGCGCAGTTTTGCTGAGGGTACTGTTATTTTAGGAGTTAAGTGTGGGAACAATAGTACATATGAATGGATCGAATGTAGGAGTGCTGGGGACAAACCTGGACAGCTCATAATTCTGCAAGAACTGCACTTTCATTGCAAACCACATGGTCACAGTTATCTATTACTGCATAACAAACCACCCCAAAACTTAGTGACATAACACAAACATCATTTTCTTATACCTACAGTTTTGTGGATTAGGAATCAGGACAGGGCCCAGCAAGGATGATTCATCTCTGCCTCATAAGGTCAAGGGCCTCATGTGGGCAGGGCAGGGTTAGACTTAGAGACTTGAGAGAACAGTTGGTAGCTAGTGAATGGATGGAGGATTCGGACCCTTAACCATACCCTGGTAGCTAATGCTCCTATGTGACCCACTCCAGCACCTTGCCTGCTCCTCCTATAAAGAGGCAGTGTCTGTTTCCTGTGCCCTTGAACCTGAGCTTGGCCTGTGATCTGCTTGGACCCAATAAATGTAGTGGACATGACAGGAGGAGAATTCCAAACTTCCCAAATCTTGCAGCTTTTGCTTTCATTCCCTGGTCTCCCTGAGGCTGAAAGGTTAAGGAGAGAGAAATCCCACATCCTAGTTGTCCCAGCTAAAAAGCCAACCATGTGATGAAGACCATCTTGGATTCCATGACAGCTGAGTGGCATGCCTAGCCAAGATGACCATTCTGGCTGAGCCCTGCCTAGCCACACAATAATCTACATAATAAAAGAGTAATATATAAATTGACTGTACCTTCATAGCGTCCACCAGCCAATCAGGGGTATGCAAATTAACCCAACAAAGATGGCAGGTTGATTTGCATATGCAGATACTGACTGGCTGGGGGTAGGGTGGGACAATTACATTGTCACCATGGTGATGACGCAGGCATTATGCACCACCCCAGCCACTGTGGGCCTCTAGGCAGCATGGGAAGGTGGAAAGGCGGCTCCAGGCCAAAGCGAAGGCAGTGCCGGCAGCCATGGGAATGAAGGCCCTTTCTTGCACAAACCTTCATGCACTGGGCCTCTAGTGAGTACATAAAATTCAGGACTGTAGTTGTTTTCAGCCTTGGAATTTCAGGCTGGTTCCTTACACAGCAATAGATAACTGTTATGATATGCTACGTGTCTTATTCAAAATTAACTTTTTTAAATAACTAGGCTCACTTGCAAAGCTTTCTTCCTGTTTAACCAGTAACTTTTCTCTCTTTTTTCTACCTTAACCCGTGTCTTTAAGGTCTCTGTTTATCTAGCAGATGACACAATATCCAACAATGCAATGCAAAATCAGTGCCAATCAATGCAAAAAGTCAGGGCAGAGTGATTATAATGTAAAATTGCAAATCTTTCTAAATGTGTATGAGATCATGAAGTAGGTGACAGTGATGTGAGAGAAGCCCTTGAATCACGGGAAACTCCTCTGACGAATGAGAATCTGCAGCTGGAATGGTTAACATTTAAAGAAGAAGAAATCCTCACAAATGATGGCACAGTAACTGCTTCCAACTAATTGAATGTCAGGATTTAAGAGAGGCTCTTGGGAAACTGATGAAACTTTCAAATATTTTTGCAATGATGACCCTCTTTATGACTTGCCCACTGAAATCAAATGTAAAAGGATATGGTGGATGAGACCATATAATTTTGTTAGAAAATTATGCTTCTCAAAATCCGCACTTGATTCGGTCCTTTGTTCTAACATTTTTTTTAAATATATTTTATTGATTTTTGTACAGAGAGGAAGGGAGAGAGATAGAGAGTTAGAAACATCAATGAGAGAAAGTCATCGATCAGCTGCCTCTTGCACACCCCCTACTGGGGATATGCCTGCAACCAAGGTACATGCCCTTGACCGGAATCGAACCCGGGGCCCTTCAGTCCCCAAGCCGACGCTCTATCCACTGAGCCAAACCAGTCCAGGCTGTTCTAACATTTAACACATCATTGACCAACTAAAATTTGTTAAATGTAAGGTAAATTAATTTTAATGATTGTCTTACCTTTTTTATAGTTCCAACCAAATCTTTTCACGTTTTGTTCCTATTTTTCACTTAGCTTGACCAACATGGCTCAGTGGTTGAGCATTAACCTATGAACCGGGAGGTCACAGTTCAATTCTGAGTTGTGGGCTCGATCCCCATTAAGGGGCATGCAGGAGGCAGCCAATCAATGATTCTCTCTCATCACTGTTGTTTCTATTTCCCTTTCCCTTCCTCTCTAAAATAAATAAAAATCTATTTTTTAAAAAGTTTTTTTTTAAATAAAACATTAAGTTTGGGGAGGTAGCAATTATTTGAGGAAACCCCTGTGGCCTCTGTGAATAGCTATCACTCCTCTCCCTAACTAACAGGTGTACCCACTGAGGGCAGGTCTCAGAACGTGCTGTCTGACATCCTCTGGACAGTGCACCAATCATCGGACTGTACCGATCGCAGAAACTCACAAATTTGGTAAATGTGACAGCGAATGACCCTCTGATTGACGGCTCACGTGCAGGTTTTGCCAGTGCAGAATGGCACTTTTCCATCATCAATCCCTGAACACAGGAGCTGGCATCTGTGCTTCTCAAAATTGTTCAATGGAGGCCTATTACAAATTTCCTGCCGAGAGCGCGTTCAAAGGCTGAATGCACTTAAAACCAATCCAAGCGTGTCCAGCCGTCCTAGGAAACCAGGCCCGCTCCCCAGGCTGGGCGGGGGGCCGGCTGGGAACAGGTGTGCCACTTCACCGCACAGGAATTTGGAAATGTCAGACACAGAACCACTTTAGAAACTCCAGCTCAGCCCGCCTGGCGGCCCCCTTCTAGACACGTGTCAGCAAGTGCCTGGCGGAGGGGGCATCTGAGAAGGTCTCTCAGCAGTGATTATAAACCAGTTCAAACAAATGGCATGGTAGGCTCTTAAAGAGATGAGGCTTTATTTACAGGGGCGGGGAGTAGGAGGGGTTCCTCTTTCAATTTTGCTCCCCAAAAGAAAGTATATTTTTAAAATATGTTTTGATTGATTTCAGAGAGGAAGAGAGAAAGAAAGAGAGATGGAAGCGTCAATGATGAGAGAAAATCATGGATCATCTGCCTCCTGCATGCCCTACACGGGATTGAGCCCACATCCCAGGCCTGTGTCCTGACTGGGAATTGAACTGTGACCTCCTCGTTCATAGGTCGATGCTCAACCCCTGAGCCACGCCACCCAGCTGGGCAGCAATTACATGTTTTACCATCCGTGAGGTTCGGTCTCTTTTGACTTATCTTGCTCTTCCATCACAAGAAGAACTTGTGAAGAGAGAATCGGGCTGCCTTCCTAACCCTGTGGTTACCAGGGTCCCTTCCCTTCCTTCAGACATTAAGAACGAACACCAGCCCTAACCGGTTTGGCTCAGTAAATAGAGCGTTGGCCTGAGGACTGAAGGGTCCCAGGTTCGATTCCAGTCAAGGGCATGCTACCTTGGTTGCGGGCACAGCTGTTTCTCTCTCACCGATGTTTTTAACACTCTATCCCTCTCCCTTCCTCTCTGTAACAAATCAATAAAATATGTTTAAAAAAAAAAAAAAAAAAGGAACAAACACCAAGCTGGGCTGCAAGTACCCTTTACACTTGACCCCTCCCATCTCCTTGGACACCAGGCGTTCTGCAGCCCAGTCTAGGGCAAATGCAAACAATACTTTCCGTTAGAATAACTTGTATTCAGGAAAGAGGGGAAAAAAAAAAAAGAAAAAAAAGAACAGCCGCTCTGTTGCATCTGTAGCATAGCAGCCGGAGACAAGTTTACCAGCGCTGGCCAACTGGAGCCCGGAGCTGGCCGGGTGAGCGTGCTTTCCCCGCCCCTGGATGAAGTCATGACTGAAATATGGCATTCAACTCCTTTTTAAAAGGGAAGAGGCTCCGGAAAGAGACGCTGGCCCTGCAGGAAAGTGCCCCACGCCCAGGGGACGCGCAAGGAAGTGTGTGATCCCTCTGAGCCCCGAGTGGCTCTCCTCTGACCTTCGCCTCCCGCTGGGTGGAGCCGGGCTTTTAAGAGCCTCAGGGTGCAGGCCCCGGTCAGTGTAGCCGGTGCTGGCCTGTCTGAACCTCTCCAGGCTGCAGAGCCAGGCTCTGAGCTCCAAGCGGCCCGCCTAGCTCTGCGCCCCTCGCCACCGTCCTTCCCGGAGCAAGAAGAGGGATCCCGGCCCTGGCCACCTGCCCGCCTGACCATGGGGGAGGACGCTGCCCACTCCGACAAGTCCCAGGGCTCTGAGCTGCGGCCCGAGAAGCCAGCCAGCCCCAGCCCGGCGCCCTCCTCCACACCCAGCCCCAGCCTGCACCTGGGCAGCACGGAAGAGGCGGCCCGGGACCAGGTGAACGCGGTGACGGTGCTCACGCTGCTGGACAAGCTGGTGAAGATGATGGACGTGGTGCAGGAGAACCAGCACAAGATGGAGCAGCGGCAGATCAGCCTGGAGGGCTCAGTGAAGGGCATCCAGAACGACCTGACCAAGCTCTCTAAGTATCAGGCCTCCACGGGCAGCACGGTGAGCAAGCTGCTGGACAAGTCCCGCAAGGTGAGCGCGCACACGCGCGCTGTCCGCGAGCGCCTGGAGCGGCAGTGCGCGCAGGTGAAGCGGCTGGAGAGCAACCACGCACAGCTCCTGCGCCGCAACCATTTCAAAGTGCTCATCTTCCAGGTCAGTGCCTACCTCCCACCCCAACCCTCCTCTCTGCAGCTGCCGCTGCTGCTGCTCACATTCCTGAGCTCAGCGGGCCTGGCTCTCGCCATCTGTCCATCTGTCCATCTGTCCTGCCCGGCAGGGCTCAGACACACAGGCATTGTCCCTGTCCGCCTTCAGCAGGCAGAGGGGAAATCTGTGCACACAGGTGACCTTGCCAGGTCCCCGAGGTTAGTCGGGCGGGGTCACTCATTGGGGAACACCTGGATGGCCTCCATCCAGCTGGCGAAGGTGAGCAGGTGCCAGGTGCCTGCGCCCCGTCAAACCCATCCGTCTCCCTGCCTGCCTGTGGACCTGGGGCTGGCTGCCGCTGTCCGCTGGTCAGGGCCAAGGCGTTCAGTGGCTGTTTATTAACTCTTTGTGCAAATGAAGTAAGCATGTGAAGGTGTTCGTTTGCTAGGGGGGCGGGGGAGGGGAGAGAAGGAGTTGTGGTTTTTAAATAAAAAAGTTAAACTCAGGGCTGTGTCAAGTCTCCCTGTGGCCAATAGCTTACCAGCATTTGGGGGCTAAGCAAGTCCTTCCAGGACCCTTCTGGCCAAAGCGATCCTGTTGAGTTCTGTTCTCGCAAAGGGCGCTAAGAGGACAGAGCAGAGCTCCTCGCAAACACTCAGATGTGCTTCTCATTGCGCCCAGACACAGCAGCCAAGTGAAATGAAAGCCTTGCGATCAGTCCCAGTTACAAAGGCTGGTCTCGAGTATTTGCTGTCTCCAGTGGTTGCCTTGGGATAAAAGGGCCACTTAAATTTTTTTAAGGCATCCGTGATGCAATGAATGTAGCAAGAGGCTCTCTGGGGACCGGGAGTCTGCGTGGGCCGTGGTCCCGCCAGGCGTTGGGCACTTGCAGATCCAAGGGCAGCCCTGCCTACTGCCGGGAGCCTTCCGCCCAGTGGGCTGGGCCAGCTGGGACCCCAGGAAGCAGTCCCCATCCCTCCCTGCCCCAGGGCTGCCTCCTTGTGAGCCTGTGAATAGGGGCGGATTTCAAAGCCCTGGAGAGGAGAGGCTGGAACCAGGGTCTGATTGTGAAAGCCACACAGAAGAGCCTTCTTCTCCCAGGAGAGATTGGGAAATGGGGCTTAAAACCAAGGGAGCCTTCTTTTCCTAAACGAACCCACGAGCCAGAGCCCCAGCCGCCTTCCCCCCAAAAAGGACTAGGGGCCTCCGGCCGCTGCATTGTCCTCCCCAAATCGCACTTCTGTCCTAACGCTTCCGGCAGCTGACGGCCTCCTACACCTTGCAGGCTTTCTGCAGCTGGAAGTGTTTTAGCTTTTAATGCAAATAGAATAGCTTTTCTTTTCTTTTTTTAAATATATTTTATTGATTTTTTTTTTTTTTTTTTTTTTTTTACAGAGAGGAAGGGAGAGGGATAGAGAGTTAGAAACATCGATGAGAGAGAAACATCGATCAGCTGCCTCCTGCACACCCTCTACTGGGGATGTGCCCACAACCAAGGTACATGCCCTTGACCAGAATTGAACCTGGGACCCTGCAGTCTGCAGGCCGGCACTCTATCCACTGAGCCAAACAAGTCAGAGCTGGAATAGCTTTTCCTGCACCAAATAAACTGAAGAGATATGTATCTTTCTTAAGCCATATAAGGTCCCTACTTTATTAGCCCAAATGATAGTAGAGATCTCGCTCTGGAAGCATTGCTACGTTAAATCCTCATCTCCACACAACACCAAACATGCACAGACCTGTTAGAGGAAGTCTCCCTCCTGCCAGTCTGCGTCAAAGAGAATCACTCTTGACCTTTTCCTCAGTTCAGGAGGAAAAACACAAGTATTTATCTAGTGGAGGAAAAACACAGTTTGTAGGGATCGGGTTTTGTTTTGATTTGCCACTGACACCTGTAGATGTTGGGGGGGGGGGGCGCGAATGGAGAAGGTATGTGACTAAAAATTGGAGAGAATTCTAAATCTGACAGTTAGATAAACATTTGTTGGGGAATTTAAAGACACAGGCCGCTACTGAAGCCTGGCCGTGGCCTCCTGTTTGTCACATCAGGTTGACAGGTGTGAAATTGCAGGCAGAGAGGGAAGAAATTCTCAGCAGAGTGAGTGAAAGGTGGGACAGGGGTGCTCTAGACCTTGGTGGGCGGGGGGGGGGGGGGCATGTACCGAGAAGGGAACCCAAGGCAACATGATCAAGCTCCACTCTGGCCTCTTCACAGACAGCCCCCAAAGACACTTGTTTTTGTAAAGAGCCGTTTAGGAGGCAAGGAACTGGGCCTTTCTTAAGCCCAAAGGATATTCGAAATCTCAACTCTCAAGGCATCGCCTGATGGTTATTTAAAGAAACAAATGCATGCGAGTGCCACTCCTCGGTGGAAGGGTTGCTCTTTCTCTTGATCCTCCTTAAAGCAAGGGTTTTCAGGAATAGGAATTATGCCAGTGGGTAAGACAATCACTGTGTTAGAGAGGGGGTTAGCATAGGGGCTGCAAAGGTTAATAATGTTCTCCATCAGACCCTGGTTCAAATCCTAGTTTTTCCACTTGCCCACTGTGTGCATGTTTTATAGCTTCTCCACGCGTGTGTCCTCATCTGTGCACTGAGAATACTAATAAGGGCAAAGAACATTTAAGCCCTTAATAAGCCCTGCCGACATACTAAGCGTTTTTCTGGGCGTTATCTCACTTCCCCCCACTCTCTCCCTCCCCCAGTTTACCGATGAGGGTGTTGAGATATTTATATCTTGTCTGAAGTTATTTATTAAGCAAAGGATGAAGCTGGGGTTTGACCGATTCCAAAGTGTGTGCTCTTAAGCACAAATGCTTCCTCCTCCTAGCTCTCCCCAAGGGTGAGGAATCCGGGAAATAACACTTAGAATTGCTAGCGACTGGCCTGGAGTAAGAAGCTCTTCCTGGCTGGATTTGAAAAGCATTTGCAGGGAGAGGGGGCTGCACTTTTGCCTGGTTAGACATATGCTTCAAAGACCTTGTCTGTACATATGCATAAGCCATGGACACAGGCAATAGGGTGGTAAAGGCTGGGGGGAGAGGCAGGAGCTGGGAAAGGTCAGTTAGGGGGTAGAGGGGGGGGGGGAGACACATCTGTAATATTTTTAACAATGAATATTTTTTAAAATAAAAATAATACAAATAAATAAAACTAATAATAAATAAATATGCCTCTTGAATAAAAACTGATCTCACCCTATCCAGGATCTTAAAACAGCTATGCTTATGCTTTTTCAGTTGAGTCTTATTAGAAGTCATACACACACTCCTACACACTCCACTTCCTACCATACATTGTATGACAACTACCATGTTGAAATCAGTATCATGTCACCACCGCTCCATGAAAGCAAAGGACCTGCCCACAGAGCCTTGCCCACACAGACCTCTTGGCAGCAGCCCGCCTGCCCCGTGGGGCAGAGGCCATGTCCCCTGGATCCGCAGAGAGGGCAGAGGGCAGGTAAGGTGCCAGGGCCACCTCACACCTTTACGTGATGGCTGTCACTTCCAGTCAGTTGGACGCTATGCCAGTCTTTCCTGTACTGAGTCTATCCGTTTTCTAGTTTACGACCAAAGAGTTCATGTGAAAGTGAACGAGGAGAGCGGGAAAGGAAAGCTGTTACTGGCGTGAGGCACCTGGAGCCGTGGTGTTTAGGTCACGGGTCTAGTGTGTTAGTTCCTGGTATGTCCTCCCACATGCCTCTGTGTTGGCTGGGTGGACCTAGATGCTTACTGTACACATTTGCATTGACTAAAATTCCAAACTTTGTCCTCATGTCATTTGTTTCTTTAAACCTGTGCTGGATTTACATGCCTTAGCCATTACCTCAGATTATAAACCCAGGAATATCTAAAACTGGACAAAATTCATTCTCCTTTAAGCACTAGAGGCAATTGTCAGATCCCTGTTAAACTTAGCAGCTTTCCTTTCTACATTTCTATAAAATCAATGTTCTAATTCAAAATACTGTGGCAGGACCCAGCATAAGTGAAATGAGACTCAGAGGGGTTGCTGATCAAAAAGCAAATGCTAAGGACTAATGAGGCTAATTCCTCACCTGTAAGGCAGGCTAGCTTTTTACTAAATGATGGAATGTCTATGGCAAGTCAGTGGATATGCAGTTAAGAAGGAATTGTCCCTGTTGATTGAAGGGACTAGAATTTCATAGGTAACTGACCCTGCCCGGGGGCTCGGGGCCCACTGAGGGCCTCTTAAGGGGTTAGTGGGTGATTATTTGAAAAAGCAGTTTGGGAATTATTTCAAATCCAGAAAGAAAATGAGCGTCCTCATGGACAGCTTACACTTTCATCCACATAACATTGTGAAATTGGGTGAAAAGAGTAGAGGTTAGGTACTTGCTGTGGAAACATTCACGGAGAACCAAGCCTTTCAATGTGTTCAAATATTCATCTTTTGGGTCCTTTCAGTGAGGCCAGAATTTTAGAAAAGTGCTAAAAGGGTAGCACCTTCAGACTTTTTAAGTGGATTTCTTTTTTTTTTAAGACTGTACTCCTTTCTCTATCCCAAGCCACTATGCTGCAACCTGCAACATGAATTCAGACTTAGGAGAAACAGGGCCGGGTCATAAAAAACACCTTTTATATGACAATGCGTGATGTTTATATCACATTGATTAATGTTCCCATAATGGAATATCGGTTCCAATATGCCACTTACCCGATGCTCTTTAGTTTATGAGAGAAAGAAAATACTGGTTCTTATTGTTATTGTTTACACTTATTGAGTGCCAGCCCTCCCTCGGGCACTTTATGGGAATAACTGATTATGGTTGGTATTTCTTCAAAAGAATCATTACTTTTTGTATTAAATGACCAAGCTTCCAGACGCAGCCTTGCCACGGAAGGGACACGCCTTTTGCTGCTTGGTAATCTGTGTGTGTTTGCATCGAGTGAAGCATGTTCTCCCATGCAGCTCAGGCAAAAAATGTGGTTGGCATTAGGATACCATGGGATTGCTTCCGTCGTTTGTTGACTGTTTTT